TTCTCTTCATGGACTCTTCAAGATGATTGGCCTCTGACAGAGAGAGCATCTCTGCTCAGCTCTGAATTTGGGAGGGCTGCGATCGTAGCACTACTGTCTGTTTTAGAGAGAAGATCCTGATTCTGTCAGGACCAGTGGCTAGGAGTTCCCTCTTCCTCCTGAATGCACAAATGGGTAGGAGCTAGATAAAAACTCTGTCTCATTACAGGCACTGCTCTTAAAGTACTATATTTAAGTATCCAGGACCTGGTGCTAAAAAAATCCCATCAGTGGATATGGGACTATGCATTTTTTTTCCTTCTATCACCATTAAAGGTTTAAACTTGTAAAGATGTAAATTTGTTGACTGCAGTGTGGCTGAAGGTCCATTTTTTTCACAAGATTGAGTTAAAGAAACTTTTCTACCAATGAAATGTCTTCTTGATCTCTGTCATGATTGCTTTCTGTTCCCCATTAATCTTATAGAACAGAACCAAACCGACTGTTTTACATTCGAGTTTTGCTTGACCTCAAGGAACATTAATGACAGCAGCATATATCTGAGGAAAAGTCTTGCAATTTGTGCTGCAACAAAGCTCAAAATATTAAAACCAAAATTTTTTGAAGTCCTCATTGCAGTTATGGCTGGTACCCTGAAAGCATTCAGAATGCGAGTTCTGACTTACTGTATGTTTAACAAATAAAGCCTCACTAGGCTTTATTTATAGAAGAACAATAAAGTTATCACTAGGAATGTTTTTTCCTGAACATTTCACAGCAGCAAGCATCATCATCATTCTGATGAGACTGCAATCTAAGGTTCCTCGTGTTACGCAGTACAAGCCCTACAACTGAAAAGTAATGTCACAGGATATAACAAAAAAAATGCACGAGAGAAGAACTAATCTAAAAAAATACACAATTGTTATCGACTTGATCCAAATCTCTTTGTAGCTCCTTTTTTCCACCTCAGCTGGCCAACGTCAAAGCTCTTTCGGAAGGATGAGGAGGGAGCAATAGGTGCACTGATTTGTTCACATATCACAGCATGTGCAAAATATGAATCATGCAAAAATTAAGGATTTCAGCCTGCCTAAGTGTACTAGGTACTGATGACAGAATGAAATGAAAAAGCTCCTCTTCATCACACAACTCATCTACATTCTGGATTAGAACTGTTGGCTATAACTAAGAAAACAGAAAATATGTCTTCAATACTGTGCTGATTACATGCCTGCTGATAACCTTCATCAGAATGAACGATGCAGACGTAAATTTATCACAGTATTTATGACAGTGCTGCATAAGGGGCATCAATCATTTATAAGATATCTCATTTGCAGTTATAAATAGAAACTCAAATCTGTAAGCATTAGAGAAGATTTGGGAGAACTTTATCTTATTTCAAATTAAAAAAAAGATGTTACCAATATTATTAAAATAAGTTTGCAATCTTTACTCATTTTCTTATCGACTACTAATTGTTTGAACACAGAGGGGAAAATGAGTTTAAGAAGTGGATTATTTGAGACTACAAATTACAAGGAAGTCTTCCTCAGCAGAGTACTGTGAGCATCCTTGGAGAAGAGAAGGCTCAGGGAGATCTTATCTATGTTTATAAATATCTGATGGGAGGGTGCAAGGATGACAGAGCCAGATTCTTCTCAGTGGTACCCACTGACAGGACAAGAGGCAACGGGCACAAATTGAAACCCAGGAGAAATCCGTCTCAACACAAGAAAACACTTCTTCACTGCGAGGGTGGCTGAACACTGGAACACGTTGCCCAGAGAGGTAGTGGAGTCTCCGTCCCTAGAGATTCTCCAGACCTGACTGCACCTGGTCCTGGACAACGTGGTCTAGGTGACCCTGCTCGAGCAGGGGTGGTTCGACCAGGCAATCTCCAGAGATTCCTTCCAGCCTCAACAGTTCTGTGATCTGTACACGAGTATCTGGTTGGGGAAATAATCTAGTCACCAACCTTACCAATGTAAAAATACAGAATTGCTTATTATGTGTTGTAGACCATTCAGACTCTTGTACTACTTACATAAAAAACTTTTTGGATATCATTTTCCCTCCCCTAATTGCATACTAGAGAAAACAACATTGTTCTGTTCTAAGAATATAATGTGAAGTGGATTTTGTCTGTGCTATTCACCTGTAATTATCTTTCTATTGTTATTTAGCAGTAAACAAATTCTTCTCCTTTGTGTAGTGACTTTTAAAAAATATCTTCTCTTTACATTCTACCCGTAGCTTTCTAAAATATAACTATTGTAACATAACACTGAAAAATGGCATGCACTAAACAACTGAAAAATGACAAGTTATTAAAAAAACAGTAAGAACCTGGTAAAAACAGATTTTCAGCTAAATCAAAAATAGATCACTTAAATGAACGTGCATGCTCCTCTGGAATTTTTCTGTCATTTCACTGCAGATTTTCACTGTAAAAATCTTTCGAATACTTAGGATAAGGGATATGTTAAAATATGAATGTTATATTTTAACACTTTCCCTAATAGGATTTAAGTATGCATTCTTTAGCTTTCATGTTATAATGTGGGGTGGCTTTTTATAGAATTTGCAAAAATTCATTGTGTAAATAGTTACTCTGTGCTAAATATTCAAAATCAATATTTACTTTCCTAAATATTAAATATAACATACTAACAGTGCGTAGCTTAACCACACAATGTTTTGTATTATTTCTCACTATATTTATTCAAACGTGAGAGTTTACATTCGTTTGCATTTTCACTGAGCTAGACCATTTCACCACCTAACTCACAACTCCTCACGCTTCTGGCAGTTACAATGCAATTGCAACAATATTGTAATGGAACTCTGCAAATAAGCGGAAGTAGATACGCACCTACAATTCATGTGAAATACAGTATGCAAACAAGATTTTGCATACGGCATTAACTTTCTGTGCATTAAAGGTATCTCATCACTAATATTACTACTATTAGAGTTTCATTACAACTGAAGCTAGTTGGAAGAGATTTCACCGAGCATCTTGTGGAGGAGATAAATGTTTTGCGGGTAAGGAAGGAAAGCTTCAGGGTTTCCACCAAAAGGTCTTTCTAGTGGTTCTTTGACAGCACAATGATTATTAGAGCACACAGAGACAGGTGGCTGCAGCCACTATCACAAAAACAGTTGTACACAGAAGCCTGTGACACAGGGGGCAGCGCTAACCATGGGCAAATCCCCACCAAACCTATGCTTGCCACACTTCCTGCGACAGCCCATGTGTCCGGTACAGGCTACAGAGGCAAACGGTTTATGGATCAGGCCACGTTCTTCACCATTTCAGGCATACGCCCTGCATCAGCAGAGGCAGATTTGGAGTAATGTGGGGTTGCGGAACCTTTAAGCAAAAGGAAAATCATCTCACGAGAACAAATGGGCACAAACTGTCTTAATGAAGTATTTAAGCAGTTTTAGCAATTTATGACAGGGATGTTACTGATGTGGTATCTCTAACAACAGAGACTAATTCCTGCAACATAGGGGATATCTAACGTCCCTTCCAGTCTTAGCATCCTACGTTTGTGACTAAAGGAAAGAAATCTTCTTCACTGTTACCAATGACATGAAATGCCCACATGCAGACGCAAAGGACTATTTTTAAAGTGAAAAGCAATTACCTACTTAATATAAAAATGCTGCTGTTTAAAACAGGTAGTATGGATACATTTTAATACCAGCACAAGCATATGCAGCAGCTAAGTCAGATATGATAGTGGGCCACACTTCTCCACTCAAAAAGACAGAAATTTCTATTTGCCTACACACAGCTTTTCATATTCATCCTGAGGTGTGCAATTTTTAACTTTTGTCATCTGCACAGTTTTGTAGCTGTGACACTTAATAAGCTTAACTCATGGTTACACTGTTCCTTGCCATACAGACCAAATGGAGTCCAAAGCCATGGTTATTTCAGCCATGTAGCTATTTACTATTCACATGTATTTTGCTGTTGTTTAAAACAGAGCATAAGAAATACAATAGCACAGAATTATGTCCCAAACTACATGACGCTGCAGGATGTTAGAACTTTCTTTCCCTTAAGCACACTAAGCGTTTCATCAGTGAACCAATGTCATGCTATTATTAACATAGAAATAAAAGTATTTATGTTAATATTCCCAATAACCTCTCTGTTCACTTTCAAAGGAAAGAGTTGTACCTGTGCATCAGGACTAATGTGAGCACTGAACGTAGCAGCCACAGTTAGAAGCTTCTGCTAGATCCTGATCACTTTCCAAGAGCTGATCATGACCTTTAAGCTGAGTGAAGACGTGTTCTGCACTTTGTAGCCCCAGACCCTATATGGCTAACACCTTCCTGTTTATCCACTAGAAAGAGCTATACATTTCGCCCTTGACTGTTATCAGACCTTCAATCATTTTAGCACTTCTTGGGTTTGTCTTGTTTTTCCAGCTTGTTTTTAAAGTGTTTGTAATTTGCTTTAGAAGTACCAGCTGATTTTAATATTAGAGAACTGCAAGACTTTGAAACCACTGGGTATTTAGGTAAACACTGAATGTGTTCTGTGAAAAAAGGGTACTATAGAAAGTATCTATAAAATAGATACTTTTATGGTATCTATTTGCATTGATGTTATAAGCACCTCACAGTGGTTATAAGCATTTCACAAAATGAAAAAGCTCCAATTAAAATCCTATAACAGATAAAAATCAGACAAAACATTAAAATTAGTTCCATGTGCCCTGCCAGTATATTCAAAGACGCACAGAATAAAAATATAATATACTGTGTGCTTACTGGATCCCTATCTGTATTCTATTTTAAAATGAACAATGATGGCCCCGGGGTGGGGAGGTGGGGATTGCAATTAAATTTGTTCCTGCTCAGCTGAGGGAGAGGGAGGAAAAGGAGTAGGGGGAAAAAAACGCCTTATTTCAGTCAGGATTGACTAAGTGCCCAAGTAAGGTTTTGCTACTTGATTTTTTTTTGATAAGACATAAGTGTACAATATGACAGGAAATGAGATCGTGGGCTAAGAACAAACACAATATCCAATTTCACGGAAACCAAATTCCAAACAATAATAAAAGAGAAGACAATCAGCACATATCAAAACCGAAGGTGGGGCAAAGGTACTGGTATTGTAAACTTTAACTTGTTTTAGACTGGATTAACTATTAGCTTTTTATTTTAAGCAAAAGAAGTTCTTTGTTCCTGCACGTATTGTACCAACAATCCTCATGCCTTTTACTTTCCAGTGAGTGGTTGTTGAAGCAGCATGACCACGCAAATCTTGGAGAAAATTTTCCAAGTTCTGTGTGCAACTCATGGTACAAATCATCGGAACTGCTGATTAAACATTTAGGACAACACTAAAAAAATTCACTAAATGTGGATCTTAAAATCTGTCGCAGTAGCAATGCCTCCTTTAGCAAAACTACAAACTTTGAAAACTCACAAATGGAAATCCTTCAAAGCTTTGTTGCCAGTTTTCAATGAGTATATTAAATTGTGCTGAGAGTTTTCCTAACATCTGGAAGCTTATGAAAAAAATGGACCAGAATGCCAAAGTAGTAAGAAAGCCAGCAGGTATTTTCAAGGAAACCCACACAACTGACTGGTATAAAAGCAGGGCTGAATTTCTGAAATATGACAAAGACCATTAAAAATTCTGCAAAATTATGTTAGTATACGTACAAATGCATTTCGTGCCATCACGCGCATGCCGACGTTCACAGCCCACACATTTCCACCCTGTGAATCCAGGCTTGCAAGTGCACTGTCCGGTGACAGGGTCACAGGGGATAGGCAGGGAACCATATCGATCACACTCACATTCCTGGCAGGAGCCTCCTGGAGTCTGTGGGCTTCCTGTATAGCCAGAAGAACATCTAGACATTGCAAATACAAAAACAAATTTGGCCGTCTGAGATGCATAGCGTGCTATAATGAATACTTGCCAAGACTATGATCAAAGCATATATGAACATTCATGCATCATTAAAAAATCTTTGGTGCTTTATAACTCAATACGTATTTGCAGAGGGAGAAATGTTGCATACTGTCCAACAAAATGATAATAGGCATAATCTCATAACCTGGATGTGGAACAGCGAAGATTGAAGGATTAGGCAAAAGTAATTTAACACCCCAAACAGCTTTCAGTAAAAGTTCTGCTACACCACGACACAAAAGTTCCCACATTAGCTGTGTTTGATCTGTAGATCTTTCTCACTGGCTGCTTAGATTTTGAGTTAGAAGTGAAACCTCTTAATATTCATTTGCTAATTGTGATTACCTTAATCCTACAGAGTTACTATGGGTGGGATAACAGCTGTCTTTTGGGTTATTAGTTTGCAATGTGGTTATTTATATGCTTATGTGTAAATGTCTTCCATAGTCAGTGTCCACAGGGACATAATAATCACCAAAAAGGAAAGGTAATTATGACATCATGATGAACTTTTTATATAAGCACAGTACCTAAGTTTAGATAAATACAACACTTTTTGGTTTAACTTCTGTGTCCAGGAGAAATAAAAAAAAGAATGGGAAAAAAAGACTAGAACAATAATTATAGTATAAATAATACTGACTATCAATTGCAGTGGATGTATGTAAAATTTGCCTATTTAAGTCCAAATTTTAACCATATATAAAGAGAAAATAACCTATCCAATGGGATGTATTTAAATATTAGTTGATATTTGCTTATGTCTACTGAAGGACAACTGCTCTTCTTCATGTATTACTTCCTTTTAATTGTCCTTCTTTTCTCTTTTTCCGTTCATCCTACCTTTCACAATACTGGCCTTCATATCCAGGTGGGCATGCAGTACATTGGTAATCACTAGGTCCTTCCGCAACACAAGAAGGGCTAAAACTAAAACAAAAATAAATAAAAAAGAAACTGATTTGTACTCCATTACATCATTTCACTGTAGTCAGCTGCGCAGAATGGCCGTGGTAAACTCTGCTCTTCAATGTAAATGGCAGCATTTTCTTATCTATTTTTAAACACCTGTGGCAGATTCTTCCTTTTTGTTGAGAATTCTACAAATGCCTTGCTGTCATACTGGCACAATTTAGACAAATGCTGGAAGGGCAGAAACAACCAGAGGTAGGACTGAGTCAACAGTGCCCATGTTGTAGGCCTGCGTGATTGAATAGCACTGTCATTCACAGTGATCAAGAAAGGAAGTAATGGAAAGGACATGAAACTAAGGATTAAGAAACTGAGTTAGCAGATATCCAGTCTGTACAATCTGATGGAGATTTTAGTTTGAATCACAGGAGATAAGCCAGGAAAAGTTTACTCAAAGGTAAGGCATAAAGAAGGAGAAAAGAACCAAAGACACAGCCCCGTGGAATCTTCCAAAAAGAAGGTAACGAATGATCTTCTGAAGGACGTACTGAAGGAGGCGGCACTGGCCTAGAGAGAAAAAAAAACCCTAGAAGTTATCTTCTTTATGACAATAGAATGGTTGTGTATGTCTTAGGCAGAGAAGACACTGGATTATTTTTATTATACCATGGTGCAGTTGGCCAACCAGTGACTGCATTGTGTACTTAAAGAGATCTATGTAAAGTAGCACGCTGCTGGAATATTAGTGCATTAGGTGCCTGCACAGACGGTTAAAACAAAAAACAAGGGTTAGGAGGGGTAAAGAAATACAACTAAATACTAAAATGGTGGAGTACTGCAAAACTCATTCAGCTATTTGTGGAAGAAAAAAATCAGAAAAGTACAGAGGTGGCTAGGGTGAGCCCAGAACTCCTTGCTCGTACAGTACAGTCAGCATCCTACTCTAACTTGCTTATAATGCACTAAATCCATAGTGCTTTAATGAGTAATAAAATTACACCTTTGCAAGAAAATGTAAACAAATTGATATACTACTCACAAACTCATTATCCAACACATTTTTAACCCATAAAAATAGATTCACACCCCCAGAAACAATGCATTCTCTCTGCTTTTTTTCAGCTTATCATGTTTGAAGCTGACTGGTAATTGTACAGAAGTATGAAAACAGTATTTAAAACTTAAAACCTTAGTGGAGCTTTGTAAAATTTCATAAATAAAAATAATTGCACTAAGCTCATTTCAAAGTATTATCATGCCAGTCTGTGTCATGCAAGGAGGTTGAATCATTTGCCATCTGTTCCATGCAGATTATGATTACTCAACTACTATGCAATAGTTGCATGTAGTTAAATTTTTTTTCTCCTAACAGTATCTTGAAGAGATTTCACTGAGAAGCACAACACACATAAATCTAAGATATGAAACCTTAATTTTCCACCTAATTGTGTAGCTTTATGGAATGGATTCCACCTAAACCTATCCATCTAAACATCAGTCTGTTTAGGCTTCTTCTATCAGCAGCGGAAACAGAGATGCACACCCAGGCACAAAGACACATTCATTCCCTCTCTCTCCAGTGGCGATTCCCTCCAATTTTAACATAGGTGGACGTACAGTTTCTTAAAGTCGTCTATCTCTCTGCATTGACTATACAGGTACCTAACTTGTTGATGACTACAACTACAGAAGTAGAAAGCCTGTTCCTTACGTCCAGAGGCAACTAAATTAAGCTCTATAAAAAGAAGCCATGCTGTTTCTGGACTCACATAGGTCTGACTCGTCTTTAGATAGCTCCAAGAAACTGGATGACTGTGTCGTGATTAAGCATATTTACTAACCTCAGAGTAGGTATTACTCACCTACTTCCCATAAGGGCCCTGAAACAAGCAAACTTCATGGTAACTTTTATGAAAGTGTGACACAAAAGGCCATGGCAACATCCACAGTCATGCAGGCCATATGGCTGCATAAGGTATTCACAGAATAGTAAGTTTGGAAGGAACCTCTGGAGGTTGCCTGGTCGAACCACCCCTGCTCAAGCTGGGTCACCTAGACCACGTTGTCCAGGACCAGGTGCAGTCAGGTCCTGGAGAATCTCTAAGGACGGAGACTCCACTACCTCTCTGGGCAACGTGTTCCAGTGTTCAGCCACCCTCGCAGTGAAGAAGTGTTTTCTTGTGTTGAGACGGATTTCTCCTGGGTTTCAATTTGTGCCCGTTGCCTCTTGTCCTGTCAGTGGGTACCACTGAGAAGAATCTGGCTCTGTCATCCTTGCACCCTCCCATCAGATATTTATAAACATAGATAAGATCTCCCTGAGCCTCCCTGAGCTTCTCTTCTCCAGGCTGAACAGTCCCAACTCTCTCAGCCTTTCCTCATATGACAGATGCTCCAGTCCCTTAATCATCTTTGCAGCCCTTAGCTGGACTTGTTCCAGCAGGTTAATGTCTTTCTTGTATTGGGGAGGCCATAACTGGACACATGACTCAAGATGTGGGGCTCACCTGGGCTGAGAAGAGGGGACAGATTATCTCCCTCGACCTGACAGCAACGATCTGCCAGTGCAGCTCAGGATACTGTTGGCCTCCTTTGCCATGAAGGCGCATTGCTAGCTCATGTTCAATGTGTTCAACACCACGACCCTCACGTCCTTCTCTGTAAAGCTGCCATCCAGCTGGCTGTCCTCAGCCTGTACCGGTACACGGGGTTATTCCTCCCCAGGTGCAGGACCCTGCACTTCCCTCTGTTGAACTACATGAGGTTCCTGCTAGCCCTTTTTGTTAGCTTGCTGATATCCCTTTGAACGGCAGTGCAATCTTCTAGTCTGTCTCCCCCTCCTAGTTCTGTATCATCTGTGACCTTGCTAAGGGTGCATTTGATCCCTTTGTCCAGGTCATTAATGAGGAGGCTAAACAGTATTGGTCCCTGTATCAACCCCTGGGGGATACCACTAATGACTGATCTGCAGCTGGACACTGTGCTGCTGATATAACCCTCTGAGCCCAGCAGTTCAGCCAGTTCTCAGTCCACTTCAGTTTGGTGCTTTACTTGTTCTCCTTTCTTCTCAGCAATTTGAATGCTCACCCAGGACATGTACTACTTGCACTACATACATTTCTTAACTGTAGAGCACTTCAGAAACATCCACTTCTTGTGTTTTCCATTAGCCATTAGATAAAAACCTGAAGTCACTTCTAGAGCACAATTTAGAGAACATGTCTAACTTCTAGCAGAGTCACCTGGGTGAGGAGTTATGCTTGTGTGTCTGGACAAATAAAAGTTCTCAGGCTCTAGGCAAAAATAGGATTGAATGACATCTTCAGCATTTTCTGCTGGTTAGTAATAGGCAATGTCTTTTCCAGTGTATTGGCTAACGTATAAAGCTGAGAAGCTTAGTTGATCTTGATCTTTGCAACAGTAACGTCCTTAGATTGACATTTTAAAGTAAAATACATGACCAATCTATAACAGAAAATGTTCTCGCAGAAGAGTTTTCAACTCAGAAGAGATTTGAGAAAGGAATTCTCTCCTTCAAAAAGACCAAACCAAACCCAACGCAACCCACAAACCCTCAAACCACCCCAAAAATGATAAAAAGAAGACAGAAGTAAAAAAAAAAAAAAAATAAAACCTGGGGATGGGATATAGACTGAGTGAAGTACGCACTATGATATCCTAACAGCCAGACACCGGACAGAAAAATTATTTTGAGAAATATTTCCAGTCCTCCAAAGATCCTCCAAGAGAACAGTCATGAAGCACCAACCTTTTCAGAGCAGCACTATGATATGGCTCCAAATATCATAAAGAGCTTTTCAGCACAACAAACAAGTGCTAAAGTATCATCTGTTGGGAATACATGCAGAGACGTGGTGGCAAGGCTCATTAACATAAAGCGACCAATAAAGTTTATGTTGCAATAACTATATTGCTTTTAAATTATTCTATCTTTCACAAATTGCCTAAAACTCATGTAACATTAAATAAGGAATCAATAAATTCCACAGAGGAGCAAGAAAGGCACTGTAACACATTTATACCAACATAATATATGAGCGTAAGACTTTTTACAGCTCCCTTGTGGCCACATTGTACTAGAGCTCTGCTCTAGCTTCATTTGTGAGAATACCTTTATAACATACATTCATTATCTGTTGAGTATTGCATTTTCTACCGCTTATTAATTTATTCATCACAAATTAGCAAGGGGGCAATTTCTGACTTTTAAAGGAAGATCAATTAGCAAAAGTAGATAGGAAACTTTTTAGTTTGGCTCTACATGATGCAGTCCTCCTGTAGCCATCTGACAGAAGACACAGACTAGGTCCAAAACAGTGAGTTATCGTTAGCTGAAAAGGCAACTCTGTGTCATGAGTTTGCCGACTTACTTGTTGCTGGAAACGGATAGAGGACAAGCACAAGGCTGACAGTCATCTGGAGAGCCTTGGACGATGCCATAAAATCCCAGCGCACATCTCTCACAGTGGTCACCAGCAGTATTGTGCTGACAATTCTGCAGAGGAAGGAGCCAGAATTAAAGCTGTATTTGATAATTACAAAGAAGCAGAAAACATTTTGTTCTCAGCCTAAGGGATTCAGACATATTTAAATTCATAATTTCTGTCTCTCCGATATGATTCTCAGTGGGGCTGCTTCCTTTAAGCATCTGTCAGATGCATGCTGTATTACATATGGGTTTACACTGAGAAAGAATGCAGGCCTGTAGCTAGCCAGATGTAGTCCTATAGAATTTCTTATCCAATTCATTCATCCTTCCCTCCTCTGTTCCAGTCACTGAAGTAGGAGAAGCAATCAATTAAAATTCCCTCTTACTGTATCATGTCATGTGTATTATTACCTATCAGTGCAGTGCATCACTTGTTAAAAAAAAAAAAAAAAGTATATTGCATATTTAGGTGGCAGTATTTAATTCTTCCTGATACACAAATTGTATTTCAGAAGCAAAAAGGCACTGGATAATCTTAACTCAGGAAAATCAGTATGGAAATCTTTAAAGGTAGATGGTTCACTTTTTTGGTCCCATAACTTCAACAGTGCTCTTATTAAGCAAAATTGGATACAAAAATTTGTCCTGTATTTTTGCATTTCTGTTACATAATTTATGAATTTTACACTAAGATTAAACTATTGCATAAATTCAGAAACATAAGATTAATACCTGACAAATCGATGTTTCAGGGTCACACATATTACTGTGTCCATGACACTGACACACAACACAGGTGCCTAAGGACTGAGCAGGTGTCCTCGCTGCAGGTGAGGAAGGAAGCCTATAAAATCCTGAAGAGCATGACTACGGTAAAAAAGATGCAGAGAAAAACATATCATTACAGAGTGGATTGGGTACGGGGAGCGTTGCGAGCTCATCTTCCCCGTCATCAGCCTTTACAAGTCATGAAAAGAAGCTGACAGGCCTCCAGCTGTGTTACAAACAATATACAGTATTTTATAGATAACAAGAGCCAGCCCTAATTGGAAACATTGCTGAGAAATCCCTGGAGCACTCCACTGGCACCAGGCTTTTCATATTACAGCTTGAGAGACCTTTCATTCAGATGCAGAACACCTCACTATTCTCACTGTGCATCAAGCATCCTTCCTCTCCTTCCTTGAGAAAAAGGTTTGTTTTCAAAATAAAATTTTTGCATGGACTGTGGAGAGCAAGCCTGATGATTCTGCTTCCTTTGTCCTTGGTGCCATTTTCAGGTTTGGCAAGCTAATATCTGCCTCCATACTGCCTGATAGATAACAAGCAAAATCCCAATGATACTCATCAAAAAATGGCTGCATTATTTATAGCTATATAGTTGAAAGACTATAAAAGTAAAGAATTCAAAATAATAACGGTTTTTACATGTCTTAGGACTATTAGCCTCAAATCAAATTTATTTATCACTGAGTCTCCCCTACCCTAGCTTGGCGATAAAATTTTGAGAGCCAACCAAAAATTACTAGCAAAGCCAACATATGCAAAATCAAGCACTTGATCTTCATTTCAGACTTATTATGCAAATGTATCAAAGTGTCTACATAGCTTTGCAGCTATGGCAGCATAAAAGTAGAAACAGGACCATTTTGATGGTTCAGACCATTAGGGTAAGTGCACATGGAGAAGTCACTCACCCCATGTATAAAACCTACCACCTAGTGGTGGTAGGATCCCACGAAGGCTATCTGTTGAGGTCACTTTCTACTGCTGACCACAATTTGTGCTTCTTAGAACATATGTGACTAGTACCCCTTTCACAGAGCAATAAAATGGATGTAAAATAAAACAAAAGAGAATCTGGAGTAAGGAACTTTTTATTATCACTTTTGTAATCACTGTGAAAACATCCGGGAGTCTAAGTTATGGATAAAGCATAAACACATTTATTTTCTTTAAAGACAGAAGAAAGTAATCTAACTCACTTCTGGTTTTCCCCTTTATTTTTACTTAGACTACATTAAGATCCCTGAAGCATAGAAACAATCTATCTGCTTTTTCATGGTTTGTGCAGAATTCCAATTTAGATAAATAATCTCAAATGAAAGTAATTTTGTTTCTTAATATAATTTCCTCATTTTTTTTCATCCCTCTCCACCCTTAAAAGAGTCCTTGTCCAAAAGTAAAATGGTACAAAGCACAGCTTTACAAGCGCTGAGTGAATTTAGGAATGGGGTATAAATATGCAGTACGTTCTCAAATCTATTCTCTAACTCATTTTGCTGATATGCAATTGACGCTCTTTTCATCTATTTTAATAGAGATGATCCAGGATACAGACAAAAGATGAGATAAACTATATTTTTCATTACTACTTTGGAAGTTTTTCTAAAGTAGCTATTAGGCAAGCTTTTACCACTGTTCTTTCAGCTTACTTTTGGATATGAAAAAAAAAAAAAAAAAAGGATATGCACATCAATTCTACTCAAAAACACTGTGCACTTAGTCCTTACAATGCAATTACAGGATAAATCGTGAAATAAATAAATAAATAAATATCTTTGTTGGCATTTGCTTAAAAAAAGCCTGAGTATCATACTTTTTTTTCCCCTGCTGAAATTAAATAAACCTTCACAGAACACATCATAACCTTCACTGAGTACACTAAAAATAAACTAAGTTATGAGCATGTGAAGATTGCACAATTAAGCACGAAGTGTGAAGGTTGCAACTGAGACATTTATTCTAGCCCCCGGTGGGTGTGAATTAAAATAAAGTTCTAATTACATTATCATATACTTTCCTTGGGAAATGCAATTTGTTACAGTAATTTTTTTTTTTTCAATCTGTACTTCTGATAAAATGCTGGAGCACATTAATTTCATATTAAGTATGTATCTATACATGATCAGGTGTGTGCTCTTACCTAAAAAGTGTGCAAAGGAAATGTCTTCATTCATTCCTTCCATCATAAGATAAATTTTACAAAAGCATACAAAGCCAGCTGATTTTCTCTAAAATTTGGGCGCTCCTGATACGTGCCATCTTCAGCATTAAATTATTTAATTAAGTAAGAAATAAATAACCTACAAGTATTATGAGCAGAGACCCCACTTCTTTGATCAACACTTTTCCGAACAAAACTCGGCCTTCAATGATTTAGAAATTTACCAAATGTAACTGTTCAGGACAAAAGTTGCCATTAGTTTAGTTTAGTTTAGTTTTGTGGCACAATGGTTCAACTGCTTCTAAGTCTTAAGCAAAATGCAGCATGGTCCAGGAATCTGATTTCCATTCCTCATTAGAAGCAGTTCCAACCTGCATACAATGGCACTGTAATTTGATAGGAGGGAAGCTTTTGTGTACAGACTGAACAAGATCTTGTTATGGGAGTCCTATACGAGCACTGGAAGAAGAATAATTGTTGGTGAGTAAAGTGGAAGGATAAGTGCCAGGACTCTGTGGCCCCTTTCAATGTATTTTCATAGATCTATTTGGACAAATGTAAGCATTCACAAAAAAAGACAGTTCAAACATGCTCAGCGGACATTTGCTAAAACTGAAATCATCTTCCACGAAGCTTCTTTCATGAAGCACAGACATGCTACAGCATGGTTCTCATCGACATTTTCAGTGCACTTGCAGCACAGTGCTGTTCTGGCCAGTAAAGCATATAAAATAAAAGCAAAATGGACAACCTCCATCCTACTAGTGTTGGTCCACAAAGGCATGCTATTCTAACAGTTTCAAGGGGAAAGATCTATGTGATCAATCTACAGCTTCTACATAATATCCCTCCTTTTTGACTAACTTTTCCAAATGAACTATTTGAAGTTTTTGTTTTGAAATGACTTTTCAATTTTTACTGTTATTTGAGTTTATTCATTATAATACAAAATTTAAAAGTTGAAAATGACATATGCTTTAGTTTTTTAAAAAATATATTTCAATCAATCATCTAGCTATTAAAGACTTTATGTGGGAATTTTAAATATCAAACAAGGCAAACTGCAAATTTTAAAGTAAATTTTAACATTCTGCATGGCTCTGTTTTGAGTGCCTGATGCTACAATTTTAATAACCTTTTTTTTAAACAATTTTTTTTGTTTCCAATTTTTTAAATACTTTATTTGCTGAATTTCGTTTAATCATCAGATTGGTAACTCTCCAGGAATAAATAGTATATAATCTTTCACTATTCACTACTACAAATGTTGTCACTATTGCAAATGATAAAACGATGCTTGTGGTTCAGCCCTTTGGAAGATATCAACCTCCACCATAACATGATATCATAGATTTATTGTATTATGCCTTCATTTCTTCATATCAGTTGGCATCAGTTGCACAATTCAGGCACAGAGAAAATCTAATAAAGTTCACTTTTCTAAATATTAAGTATTTGAGTCATCCTCATGGTTTCAGTGGCATATTTGCATAAGGTAAAATAAATGCTCAAACTCCTTGTAAGAACAGTACTGGAGAAAGAAGAGAGGTAATTAAATTAAGTGAGAGTTGGTGCCAGTTAAACAAATCCACACAAATTGCTTATCACACCTTACTAATTGGTGCACCAAATAGCATAAGACTTTTACTGGAAGTTCGGGCAGTACTGTACCTCACAGGACAAACCAGAATAACCCAGGGGACAGTCACATTTCTCAATCAAGTAAGCCTGAGGACTCATTCCAGACACACTGCTGTCTTCAGCAACTTCCATTGAGATTTCAGAAATCCTGGAGAAGGAAAAAAAAAAAAAAAGGAGCAACCATCTCTAACGCAATTAGTCAAGCACTAACTCAAAACCATAGTCAGCTAGCATGGGAGAAAACGGACTTAGCTGGCTGTTTGTAGACTTCTTGGTCTACAGGAGATAAAAAGCGCTATTTTTGCTTCTCCAAAGAAAACAAACACCCCCTCCGGTCTCGTTTTCCATTTCCAGGCAATCGTGTAACTAAATCTTCTCTTCTGCTTGATTCTACATCTTTTTCTCTCTCTCTCTCTCTCTTTTCAGTCCAACTATTAACAAAAGCTCAAATCTGACTCCTCATTTCGAAGGACTCATTAAGAAATCGAAGTCACATACTAAACGCAGTTCCAATTCATGATTCTCAGAGGTACAGCAATAAAATTGTTCGCTAAATGAGCTTTTAATGAGACTACTATTTAAAAAAATAAAAATCTATCCCAAGCAACTAACACAAGCGAACAAGCTCTAGAACAGACTTCAAAGGCATTGGAGAGTTGCCTTTTTAGTAAGAATTTTAAGATTTGTAGCCAGACTGTATTTTTTTCTTAGGATCAACCAGACACATAAGCAAACAATTTAAAACAAACCCAAAATCTCAAGGCAGAAGCATTTGTTAACGTCAGAAAGGGATATGTTTCACGGTAGAGCTTCTGACACTAACTTTCCAGATATCTGTTTGGCTATATTAATAATAATATCCTTGCCTTCCAATCACTCCCTCTCCTCCAAACATGCATACTGACCTACCAAATTGGGTCAAGTATATCATGGATAATGACAGCAAACGTAATTTCTAACGCAATATAGTTAATCCCAGTGGACTGCAATGTTGGTTTTTTTTTAGCTTACTTCTTTATTTTGGGAGTTTTTTAATTTGTTTAGATGAATATTATGATCTGAAAGCCCTTACTGTCTTTCATAAATAAAAAGGGTAGACTAGTGCAAATTTTAAAGCTTCTAAATATAATGTCAATCTAAGAGAACTGTTTGTCTTTCTCTTAGCATTAAACATGAAGATCTTGTAATAATTAGTTGAATAAGCACAGCTAATACGGCTACAGTCTATTCACTAAGTGTTTGTGTATGCGGTTAACACAGACAAACGCATAGAAATACTCAGTTCTCGTTCATGCTCACAACCCATTCACTTGCTCCCAGACCTTGATTACTGAACTACTGGAGAGAATCTTCTTTTGAACCTTGGCATATGGGCACCAATGTCAGGATGACTGTAGGAAAAGCAAACATCCACTGCTGAACTAAGAGAAAGTTTTGAGGCTGACCTGAGGTTACCAGAATTCTACCTCTTAATACCTTGTGTCAATGCAACATCCCAAAACAATCTAGTAACTTGAAGCCTGTGCTCCCTTTTTACTGCTTGAAGAAAGGGGTTCAGTGGAGCAGGGACGTGGAACAAAAAAAACCCAAAACGAACAAAGGTGTATCAGAATAGAAGGCTGCAAAATAAATAGGGCAAAAACATTCAATCTGATGTGTCTATGCAAGCTTATACTGAAACCTCTGTACATTTAACAGAAAAAGAGAACGAAATCTGCCTCCCCATCATCTTCAAGACTGAGGCAATGGTCTGTGTGCTGCAGAGAACTATTTACTGCCAGAAAGTTGAATTTACATAATAATATACTTTGGGACCACAAAGCTACCTGTTGTTTGTGTGAAAAACGTTACTTAAGGAAGGTCAGGCTTGGCTGATTCTTGGAACATGTCTAATAGGAAGCAGTCTAACAAATGCTACCTGATCAGTGTCAGGGATATTGAAATAATTCACAGTCAAATTGAAAGCATACTTCCAATTCAAACCAATTTATTATCACAGCCCAGCTGCCTGAAAAGCAAAACAAAATCTAATAACAGAAACATTTCAATTTAGAGTGGCGAATGTGAAAACGAGGGCAACAAAATGAACACAATGAAAATGTTTGGCTTTGGATTCTGAGCAGAAATCTCTAAATCACTAGTAATGCTGCAGCTTTGAAGCAGAAACATTAGCATTGCTGCTAAACTATATAGCTAACAAAGTGCTAATGCTGGGACTAGGCTATTTTTATGTTTCCATCTCCTGCCACTGCTTTGACTTTTGTAAGAAAAGTTTTTCCTACAGTTTATCAGTTACCTGCAGCTTTTGAACTCTGAAATCAAAAGAACTGGAGCTAAAACACTATTCAAAACCTTAACAAAATTAAAAGGACTCCATATACAGCATTTCTGTCCTGCTGTCCCTAGTTTCCTTCACCTCTTACTTTGCTACTAGTTAGGCAGGAACAGAAGCTTTACTCGTTTAGAACAGGGCCCTTATTTAGAAAGCATATCACACTCTATTTAAGCAAATATATTTTATTAACTCACTTAATTCTAACATGTGTTTAAAGTTGAGGATATGCTTAAATATTGTCCTTGAGGGTCTTGGCCTATTTTTAATAAAAGCCTGTAATTCTTATTCAAGGTAATGTCCCACTAGAACAGTTTAGGGGATTTGTTTTGTGGTCTTAAACAAAACCTCCTTTGAAATCATTCAAGGAAGTCTCGGGTGCCTTATGATGAGTGTTACCTATGTAACTAGGCAGAGATCATAAAAATCTGTCACAACATAACCACTTCCAAATCAAATACGATATTACATGCAAAGTTATGACTTCAGATGGAGAGTTACTGGAAAGAACAGATAAACTCTTCACTAAGTCCTGCTGTCATATAAAAGGTGACATTCTGAAATGTGATGCTGTAAAAATACATTTTGGTTCTTTAAGTGCCACCTGGCAAACCCATCATGAAATTGAAAAGTCATTCCTTGTTCTGTCTGATATCTGCTTCACTACTAGGTAGCTCTGATAAAACGGTGGTGTATTACAGGGCAGATGTAGTTCAGTCCTGACGATCATATGCATCTCAGAACAAAATTATGAAAAAGGAAGTCCATTTAAGTAACTTTGCTTATGATGCATGAGCTAGGATAGCATTCAGCTTTTCCTGCCATAGATGAATTAGGGTATGTAGCGTGTGAAGGGGGTAGGGGGAATACATAAAATATCGATAACATTTCTCAAATTGTCCATGTTGCATTAGAGGTACTTTCATACCTCTTTCTGTGGGAATTCCCTGTGCTTGTGATATAACATCCTACATGGACTATGCCAAAAATAAACAAAATCACTGTAAAATATTTATGTTATTCATTTTTATATGCAGCATCTAGCCTGGGCAAGTTGAATGGATACTTTTATTTAAATATGTGTGTTAATGTGTGTTTTCTGTTCTAGGATCCTGAAAATAAAGATCTAATCTGCCTATTATGATTTAAATGTTTAATTGAATAAAATTTCCCTCTCCTCTTGGCAACTACTTGTAGCTTATTCTATGAATAAAAAGTTTGGAAGCTCCATTAGGTGATCTGTGACTACTGCATTATTTTATACCATTGCTTGAAATAGTTACCTGCTCTGCCTCATGATATTGCCATGAGTAGCCTTAATAAGAACGTAATGAACGTCGTACAACACATTCAGGAAGTCTTCCCGAGATACAGTTCTGCTGGATCTTGAGTCATCTCCGTAATATTTCCATGCAAAGTCTGCCTGGGATGCCGTCCTATTGACTCCTGGGTCATCACGATGATATTCCCAGGGCACAGAGTGTCTAACACTTTGGTCATCACCATAATACTCCCATTCATGCTAAAAGACAGTAATACAAAAACAGACTATTAGCAGTACTAAAAAGAACCAAGTGCTGATGCTCTGGAATAAAGCAGATGGAAACATTACCTCTGTCATCTCTATCTCATGCCTTGTCAGCTGCCCAATCAGAGGGGCAGCCATATGCCGGACAATAATTCTGGTGTGCGTGGGAGGCCCACCTCTGATGATGACTTGGGGGTAATAAGTAGCAAAACCTGTCTCTTCTCTTGCTTCAAAGTAGATTGCATATTTCAGTTTCCCTCCATAACTGGTGAGCTAACAAAGCAAAACAAGGTAGAAAAAGAAATCTCATTTTCAGTTAGCTAAAAATAAATTCTGGGCATACGTTGCAACTAAGTACACTTTGCATCTGTGCGCAGTCTGATGAATGCATGTGTGGTAGAAAATAGCAATACGTGCTTGTAGAACTGTCTGGGGACAAGGGCTGTGCTCAGAAATACCCATCAGCAATTTGTTATTTTACTACAGTGAAAACAAAATGCTAGCTACTTTGTTGTGTGCATCTTAGTGCTCCCAAAGTTTGTGCATAGAAAAAGGTATACCTACTCTTTCATAAGCCAAATCAAGAAATATCAAAAGTGCTAAATAAAGCAGAGAGACAGAGGTGCATAAACAAAGAGAGGGTTATTTCAATCATTTTCTCCTGAGCAGCATACAGAATTCAGATATTTTTTTCTTTAAAATAGAAAGAAACAAAGAGTTACACGAGGGGTATATTAAATTAATGCTGTTTAATTTTTTAAGTCTTTTTTATGAGAGAATCCATCCTGTGGAAAAAATATTCTATGTTTCGGTCTGCAAGTATCTAATTTAAAATAATATCTATGTTATAGACTTATAATTTTTGATGGTAATTGAGAGGTTCATTTTTAATAACAGAATAGCATTTACTTTCTTTTTAAGCACCTTGCAGTCTGCGATGACGAGCCTAGTGGAAGGGAAAAAAGGCATTGCAAAATACAAACATAAAATAAAATATAAATCCATCTCAGTATTCAATGGAATCTTATGTTTACCTTTCGTCCTTCAAATTGCTCTGGAAGTCTCCAGTAAACAGGTTCTGAGTGAAGGTCCTGCATCACCTGTTCTATATTTGCTACTATTTCAGGAGGCTGGAATGCAATCCCTGAAAGAGTGCTGTGCTGAAGCTTTTCATCCACCAGTGGCAGAATCTTTTGCTCTGGCTTCAAGGTCAGCTATGCATATTCAAAAGAATCAAGAAGAAAATCAAGTTCATTTTTCCCCATGAAGGAAAAGCAATGTTAATCTTTAAATTTAACTCTTTAAAAATTCTTTCTAGGTAATTTCATTTCACGTAATGAGCCCTTCGTCATGAAGCACTCTTACTACTCGTTCAGATGGAGGAGAAGCAGTCATAATAACGACTTCCCCCTCAATCCTTTTGCACCCAGTCCTCACATTAACAAAGAACTTATTAATAGTTTAAAATAGTTTTACCAGTGAGTTACTCCATGAATCTTATTAATATAATTTTCATACTCTTATTTCCAGTCTTGGGACCTCTTCTGACCAGAGTCTTGAGAATTTACATCAAGATGAAGCATACTTCTCACCAATACTTATACATCACTGGGGTTGTGGAACGAAATGCCTGATACTCTTTGCACTTTTCATGCAACAGTTGAGCTAAATATTCTACAGTTAATATGCAGAAAGTGAAGGTTTAGGGTTTATATCACCCTAAATTTAGATTTAATGGAAAATACAAGTACGCTACTTAAACGTTTGCAATTTTTTTGGCTTTGTTGAAAGCTACTCAATAGCGTGACAAAGAAATCATTATTTTGACCAAAAACTGTAATAAGAATCTTAGTAATTCTGTGCAGATGAAAGTATCACAAGATGTATATGGATAAACACAAAGGGCTGATATCAAAATTGCTGTCAGGAAGAGGAGTAAAACTAATGCAGAGTCATGACCTTAACAGTCCTCCCACCTACAGACTGTTTCACAAGATAAGAATCAACCAAGCCCTGCACTGTTTTTAAAGTATTTTGCTATTTTCATTTACAGCAGCATCTATGGACTGACAAGATATGGAAGCACTCCTAGCAATTGCCAGCCCTAAGTGAGACTTCCTGAGTGTCTATCATAGTAGTATTTTAGTGTTTAGTACTTTAGACATCAAGAAAGCGGTCAGCACACTTGAATTTTACAATAGCCCTGCCTTACTGTCATATAGGGCATGATTCAGTTCGTCTAAATATGTCTAATGCCACTCGAGGCATGTGAGAATATCTGAAATAGCTGCTAACAGCTGGCAGAATCCAGAGTCATTCATTTTACAACTCTAAATCAATTTTGAACTAGATCAGAGTACCCAAAACTAGATGAGATGTGGACACACATTTGTTTAGATATGAGCATAAACGTAAGAGAAAAATCAACCAAGAGACCCAGAATAACCAGGAACTTTAAACTATGTTTCTGCTCTGTGCAGCCATAAAGGTCAAAATACAATTTTCCAGAACTGCTGCTGTCATGAAACTTGATTAAATTTTGTAACTTATCAGCTTTTTACAGCCCTTCCTCTTCATCCTACCAGCATATGATGGGCAAGACTGAAATAAGGAGAAAGACTGGGCCAGATCATGATAAATCACTTCACCCGCTGGAAAGGAAAAGATGTGGTATTGGACTGAACAAGGAAGCGAAGAATGGATGCCATTCATGTTACCTTGACCAAGAGATACGAACCATTGTATATTGAAATTATGTCTAAAGTATCACTATCTGGTTATTGCTTGCGCAAGAAATAAGCCAGGGGCTTTAGCTGATTTGCCGTTAGGCAGACATGCCCTCTGTGACCGACATTCTTTCTAGCAGAGATATGACTACCTATGTGGACTCAACTAGTCATTTCCAATCGGAAATAGTTCTTGTAGAATATAATTGAGGAGCTGGCACAGCGGGGACAGACAGCAGTGGTCTCAACACCTGTTTTGAGGGATAAATTGAGATCTTCAGTCTGCCTGATCTATTAGTCCAGGATGGGTCTCAAGGCCCTCTTGCATTCAAGCATGGAGGGCTCTCTGGCTGCTCTCATGAGATCCACCTGTCCATTCCCAGATTTAGATAGAGTAGCATCTTCAATAAGTTCTTTTTTAAATTAAAAAAAAGAAGCAATGAAAATAAACAAGACATTAATTGAACCACAGCATTTCTAAATGTTCAACAGCAGGCATCTATGAACCCTGAGTACACTGGGGGAAACTGTATCATATACCAGAGATTATGTTACAATATATTGGATTGACACGGTATAATTTCCCCACGTATGACTAACTTGTTCTTTTTTGGGTTTTAATAGCTTTCCTTTGGCTTGACATCTGTTATGTTATCACTGGTTTTCTTATCTACTTTGCTTTTAAAGCCTTGACTCTGATTGTGTAATGGAACATACCGCTCTCTCTACTTCTCAAAGTATAAGGAGGAAAATGACTGCTTAAATGTTTGGCCATTTGTCGACCTCTCAATGCTTGACTAAAAGATTGCAGCAGGAAACAACATTATCGCATTACATGGCTCAGCAGTTCCCTACTCACCCACATGCGGATCAGCCCCCTTGCCTCATTGCACTGTGTTGTCACGCCAAAGCAATAGCAACTGCTGCAGCCAAGTGGGTTTCTGGCAGAGAGACCAAATGTGCCAGACTTACACCTGTCACAGTGGACACCTTCCACATTAACCTGGAAAAGAGAAAAAAAGCTTTGTTTACAGGTTACTATAAGTTTAAAAAAAAAAAAGGCATAGTAACCCTAACAACACAGTGCAAAAAGAAATAATAAGCGTAAGGAAATATTCAAGGAACTTTCTAGCCTCTTATCATGTGTGTATGCAAATATATACAATTAATATAATCAAGGTATTTGTATCCACTGAGTAACTCCAAGCAATGCATTGTGACTTCATACTGATAGCTGCACGCACATAAAAATCAGACTGAACTTCTGGCATGGCATGCTTGCTAGCTGATTGATAAGATAAGAAAAAATATGTCCTTCTGAAACTGCCAGGGGTAATCAACCCTTTTGTCTAACAGGAATTAGTTTTGACAAGTTAGAACATTTAAGGTACAGTACTAAATGTTCTTACTGAGAAACATATTTTAGAGAAAAGCTTTCCCTTCTTCATCTGATTGTTTTCCACACCATTGAACAGTATTAACAAGGGCTGAAATGTTTCACTGTTGTAATGTCAATGCTTTTATTTTCATTTTTCAATTAGTCCAAATAAAAAGCTATACTGGATACAGCTAGATACAAAATGATTTATGCATAGCCTTTTAAAACCATTTTCATACTAAGACTGTGCTATTTAAAAAAAAAAAATCACTAACATGAAAGCACTGATTTGTCTTTTTTTTTTTTTGAGAGTAATGCCAAGAAGCCAATCTAAACAACAAAATCAACTTTCCGAAGCTTATAAAAGAAACCAACATTATCCCTGAGGACTTACCATTTCTAAGGCTCATTTTCACATGTAACTCTATAAGCAAATGTGCTTACTCTGTACTTAGCTTAGATTTTGCTGCTTTTTGTCAGAGCTGACAAAGAGACTCCTGAGCTTTTGAAAGCTCATTTTTTTCCAGCTATAACAGCAGGTTTAAATGGGAACAATTACCATTTTATAAAAATCTTGCCTCTTCAATGTATAATTCTTTTAATAAATTAGGCAAAAGGTTAACCAACCCCCAAGATGTAAACCTTGAAAAAAAATCTGTCAACTTCATTCAATATTATTTGTTCATTTTATGTCATCAGTTGTGAATTTTACTTGCTTTGCAGTTTGTTTCACATCAACTGCAGTTTCTCATCCTTAAATATCAGCTAAATATATACTATTAATCTGGACTAACAGGAACACAGAAGTAACTAACTGAAAGCAGTTACTTTCAGCCTTAAGAGAATCAATAGAGAAACATTTTTATTTAAAAAAAAAAAAAAAAGGTCATAAAAGCCCATTCTTTCTATCTGGCACTCGTAAGACCTACAACAAAGACACTAACATGCTGCAGCTAGTCCAGAAAAGGGCCACCAAGATGGTTAGGAGGCTGGAGCATGTGACGTATGAGGAGAGGCTGAAAGAACTGAGACACTTATTTTTTATTTCAGAAGATGACATAGGACAAACAACATTTATCATTAGCCTGGGAAACACTTCTTCTCAGACAGTCTTTGTAAACAACTCACCCACTTGAGTTTTCTTATGGTCTCACCATCAAATGAATTATTTTTTGTGAAAGAGAACATGATGTCTTCTGTTCAAATACATCAGAAGAGTACATGAAGAGCCAAGCTGTTCAGTAGGAGTTGGGTTCAAAGAAAATCATGAATTCCACTGACTACAATATGAATCCATTTTGTTCCTGCAGCCTTTCTAACAGGACTCTTGGTGTTCAGCCTTAGGAAGGGAAGGCTAAGGGGAATATTACTGCTGTCTACACCTACCTAGTTGGAGGTTATAGAGAAGATGGAGCTCTTCTCAAAGGCGTACACTGATAGCGTGAGAGGCAACACAAGAAGCTGGAACACAGGAAAATCTGGAAAATTTATTTCACCGTAAGGGTGGTCAAACAGTTTGCACAAAGAGGTAGTGGAATCTCCAGCATTGCAAATATTCTCTCAGCAACTTGGTCTTACTGGACCTGCTTCAAACCAGAGGCTGGACTAGATGACCTCCAGAGGCTCCTTCCAACCTAAATTATTCTAAGATTCTATAATTCCTCCACTGAACCTATCAACTCAGAATGGAGTGACTGCTGTCCAACTAACAAAAAACTTATCCAGCAATTATAAAATTTAAATTTCATCCTTCCATAAATACTAGCTCTTTGCGTCAAGTAGTCCCTTTAGTAACTACTAAAGTAGAATGAATCAAAAACACAGAAGGAACCACGAGAGGTCATTTTAAAAAACCTCCTGCTGGGAGTGGGACTATCACCAATATTACATCAGGTTAGCCATGGCTTTGTCTAGCCAAGGCTTGAAAACTTCCAAGGATAGGGATTTCACAGCCTCTCTGGATAACCTGTTCCAGTGCTTCATGCCCCTCTTAGTGATTTTTTTCCCTAAAGTCCAATCTGAAACTCCTAAGCTGCAATTTGCAGCCATTAATCCTTGTCACATCTTCTGCTACTGTCAAAAAGGGCTTCACTCCATCACTTTTTCCAGCTACCCTTTGAAGTGGTTGTAGGCTGCTATTAGATTTTCCTTTAGGATCCTTTCTGCAGACTGAAAAAGTCCAGCTCCCTCAATATGCCCTTGCAGATCACCTGTTCTAAGCCTCTTTGTAACCCTCCTCTGCATCCTCTCCAGTTTCTCAAAAACAATCTTGAATTAGGGGTCCCAAAACTGGACATCATTTCCAAGTGCCGCCTCAGCAGCACAAAGTAGAGGGGGATAATTACTTCCTTTGATCTGCTGACCACACTCTTCTAAATACAGCTCAGCATGCAGTTTGTGTTATTTACAATGAGAATGCATGGTTGGCTCATAATGAATTTACCACCTCCTTTTAGCCCCCAGGTGCTTTTCAGCAGGGTCACTGTTCCCCAGTCGTACTGATGCTTGGAGTTATTCCATGCCAAGAGCACAAATTTGCCCATGTCTTTGCTGGAATCTGTGAAGTTTCTACTTGCCCAGTCCTCAAGTTTGTCAAGGACCCTTACGATTGCAGTTCTGCTCTTCACCATGGCAACCTCTACATCCCCCAGATCACCACTATCCACAAATTTGCATTCTGTCTCATCATCTGGGTCACTGATGAAGATACTGAACAGCATTGGCCCTGGGGGTACTCTGCTTGCCGGCTTCCTACTGGATAGCAAAACACCGATTATTAATTTGACAATAATCTTGGTTTGACTATAAGCAGTCCAGCCAATTTTCAACCCATGTAACTGTGTGCTCTTTGTCCAGTTCGTATCTCCTTCCAAATAAGAATGCTGTGGGAGATGATGCCAAAAGTCTTACTGAAGTTTAGTGATCCTAAATTGGATGCCGTCTATTCAGAAGAACAGATACTAACTGGGGTAAATTCTACACATTTTACTTATCAGTACTGACTCTAAGCCAGTGCACTATAAAGAACTAGACCTGTGGTACATATTGTTATTACTGATGTGTCTGCTTTTAATTTGCCAATTGTCTGAACAAGAATTGTATTGAATGTCATTAAACTGATAACAGTTCTGTACAGGAAGAAATACAGACGGAAAGGAGAGCCTAAGAGGATGCCACCTTGGTCACAGTTAATGTGTGAAAAGGCAGCTGATAAGCACTTTTGCCTTCTTGTTAGGCTCCTACCAGAGCAGTTAACAAATACACCACGACAAACAGCTAGATGTGTCTGCTTGTACTGCCAACGACGACTGGAATAAATTCCTCAGCAGCAATAAGACCAGCTTACATCCTTCATTGTCCTACCTTGCAGCTGCACTGGCCAGTATGATCAATGCATGAGCACTTTTCCAACTCTGCATCACAGGTCTGTGGGTTGGCCCCTGGCAGGAAGCACTCACAGGCAACACACTGTGGGTAATTCCAGTAACCCAGCCTGCACTCAGTGCATTTTTCCCCAGAGAATTCAGGGCGGCAGTAGCAGCAGCCTGTATTTATGTCACACTGAGAACTCAGGGCTCCAACCACACTGCAGTCACAGGACTAAAAAGGAGAGAAACAATGAGAAAATTGCAGTCATGCTTCTGAAAAAAGCAAATACCAAAACCAAACCCCCATCTTTTTGAGTATTTATGAATCAAATTATTCATATGGTAATGAATTTCCTCTGTCCAAACACAACATACCCAGGCAGTCATCATTATTCAACAAGGGTCAAGCGATCAAGCGATCACACTATAAATATATACACATATATATATGTGTGCGTGTATATACATGTGTGCGTGTATATACACACACACACACACGTGTGTATGTATATATGTATCTGTCCCTCTCAACATTGTTTTCTTTTTGATTGCATATTATTTATCATTGATAACTTAGGCAACGAACTCAAACCAACAAGGTCAAGGACACATAATTTGGAGACAAAGTTAACAAAAATTGTAAGTGCCTTTTGAAAACCCTATGCAAGTCTATGCGGAGCATGTTCGGATCTCTTTTGCTGAAACTGGAAATGCTCAAGGGCAGCGGTCCCTGTAAAGTCCAGTGCAGTGATTATTACTTATCTACCAGGTAGAGGACTACTTTCTTTGTGCAAACAGAACTCTGAGATGATAGTAATTTACACGGTAAGGGATGCAGGTTTAGTCTCGTGGTGTACTGGGAGGTAAACCTGCTCACAGAATCAGACTTTCACAGTCAGGTAAGCATAGAAATAGGTGATTTGCCAGGGGGTCTAGATATTGAGCAGAAAGCAAGTAGCAGGGAAAGCTCCAGGCTTCCAAAGAACAGAAGAATCCCTCCGTGCTATTACTGTGGCTGTACTGCAAAGTTAGCACAGGACATTCACTGTCGTCAGTGGCGTGACTAGAATCTCTCATGGAGAAGTTCAGTTTGCAGCAGCAAACTCAGTGCCAGTAGTACAGGTTACCACAGTAACTGACATGGACAGACTCACTAAAATGAAGGACACAAAGCTGCAAAACAGAGGAGGAAAACGTGGATTCAGTTTATAGGCAAAGCTGCTTACATGACTACTTACAGCATCTTTCTTCTGATTTTAAGAGATCATTTATAAGGAAGGTGATTATATATATGAAAAATTCAAATTCAATCTTTACCACATGCAAAAGAAATGTTTTAAACAATGGTTAAATCTTAGACTGCTAGACTACTACCTAATCTTCTCACAGGAAGAGCCTTATTCGACAAGATATATCTGAACATAAAGCTTAGGAAGCAAACTGCTCATCATACACTAAAATAGCTTGGTGTGCAATATCAAAACCTAAATTACAATCAAATGTTATGTTTTTTGCAATGAGGCAGTTTTCTGCAATGCTCTCCTGAGTTATGACAGCCTTGGAAATCTTTTACAAAGGGAGTGCAAGTGGAGTAGGAGATTCACGTCTCACTTTGGGGAAATTAGCTGCAACATACTGAAAGAGAAGATATGGGCTGATAGATCATTATTAATTTAGATGGTGCCATGGAGCTGCCATACTAATGCACTCATATAAAAGATAAACAGAGAATATATGCCACAGCTCAAACAGAGGTCTTCAACCTCATTAGGCTGGTTTCAGAAGCCAAGAGTCTATATCACAGCAGCACAGCAGAGGTTTCACAAGAGGAGTTTTCCATACATACAGAAAAGAAAACATTCTTGATAATTAGTTTGCAGCCTGAGCCACATGACAAACAGCCTTTTAAGAAGAAAGAGCACTAATGGTGTATGACCATGTTCAGACAAGACATAGTCTTTCGGAGTAATTGCAGCACTAATTTAAATCCCTTGTCACCCCTAGGGATGGCAGAGAGGAGAAGGTATCTGAACTTGACACAATATTCACTGTTACTAGTTTTCAACCTTAACTGTATAGTGCTCACCTTAGCTCAGAGTATGACATTATCAACAACTTTCATGGCCTCTTTGACATACTACCATAGTTTTCCTATTTCTTCTATCTTCCCATCTTCCCTCCCCTTCACACTCTTTATTAACTGTATGTCAAACACTGGAAAAAGAGGGATTCAAATGCTAATGAGAAGGTTTATTCCCCCTTTAAATAAGAGCATAGAAAGAAAGTGCATTTTACAGCTAAGACTGCTGTTTCTTTTCTTCTCTCTTCATAGTCTTTTAAACACAAGTTGAAGTCCTTCTGAAATAAAATTCAAGTACAATTCCCATTGGTATCGCAAGTAGGGCTCAAGTAAGTTTATTCTGCAAAAGCACTGCCAATTATCTGTAACTGTACATTTCTACATTACATAGTATTGTGGTAATCTCCTCAATCATGTTAGATACAGATATAATAATAATAAGAACAAAAAGAAACAGACTCAGGCAGGACTCTGAATCAGCATGGTGGCAGCGCGGTATAAAGCGGCTCTTTGGTGTTACAAACAGACTGAGTATATGAGACAGAATCTGAAGTTCTCTCAGGTTGCCAGCACTTGCACCACAGTCTGATTCATACCAAAACTCTCCATGCAGAGACAGTGATTTGCAAACCTAAAATTGTGTTCCAGCTACAAAGTACTGTATTTACCCCATGGGAATGAGGTAACACATACAGAGACAATAGAGATCTGCTCACCTTGCAGCCGCTGACAATGTCATGGCCCCAGTAATTCGGCGCACATTTGTCACACGTTTCCCCAACAGTATTGGGAGGGCAGACACAGCGGCCACTGACTGGATCGCAGTTATTACCAAAACGAGAACATTTGCAGGCTTCATAGGAGATAAAGAAATAGAACAATAGAAAACAGAGTTAGGATCAGAGCCCTTACTGTACTACGAATTCCCAGTTGTCTGGGGACATAGTGGGACAGGAAAAGTAAGGCAAACCCAGAGAAACCCAAACCAGGAGCAATGCAACACAGGTTAACTGAATTGGAAGAAACTACAATGAGAACAGAACGGCAAAAAGACAGACACTAATGGTAGAAGCGCAGGGACTTTTGAGACGGTGCATTCGCCACAACATAACTGTATGAGTATAGCTATCTAGTTTCTGGGCCCATGGTGGCTCACGTAAGAAGCTACTTGACAGCCTCTGAGCCCTCTACGCAGGGAACTTGCAGCTTATGTAACCTGTCCCGACAATCTGAGCTGACTTTCTGAAATCTTTGCAGAGACTTTTCCTAAAGGGGGGGGGAGGAGGGAAGTATTTCAAACTCCTATTCTCATTTTATTCTCTTTTTGCCGAATATGTGGTTCTGCCTCCTATTCCCCCTACCACTCTCTGCAGTACAGTATTTCTATTTCGACTGTCATAATCTTCGAGGTTTTAGAGACACTCTTTAGCCTGAATCATTTCTTTTCACAGTAAAATTATGGAAGAGAGCTGGAAAAATGGGCAGAGAGTGTGCGCAACATATTAAAATCTGAAATGGAGCTTAGAACACTGAAAGTAGCTTATGTACGTTCTCCCATTAATTGGAGAACAATTAAATGATCAGCATACCAGTATAATTCCAGTGCTTCTCTACCTTCTGCCTCTAACATCCTTGTAACAGGGGTTCTTTGCAGCATATGGTCCTGCATTTGAACTCAAGTATGCAGTTTGAAAAAGGTAATATAGAAGCAGGGATTCTTTCTTTTTCTAAGCACAATGAACATACTGCAGCTCTAAAAGGAGAGCTTGACATCCACCATGTGCTTGCACACAGGAAACCGTTTTTTTTTTTTTTTTTAAAAACAAGCTTTATTCTATTAAAAATACTTAGTTTTTGGAAGTAATTCCAAAACTGATCTTGGCTATTAAAGCATTATTAAGTGAGCCATTCATTGGTAGCAGATGCAGATTCAAAGTATTCAATAGACTGAGTAGTTATGGGGCACAAGACATCGAAGCGTTCTGAGGGGGGGAACTAGTGCATGGTTATTTTCATAGTCCCCTTCAACATTGCTCCTGGTATCAGAGCAAAAGCACAGTAAGCAGACTACGGCTCTCTGCGTGATAATCTGTTCCTTGATATGTTTCTAGGGCAGTGTAACAATGTCCCATTGCTGAGGGCTGTATTATGTTCATTGCCTTTATTGTACGAAACACCTCAATTCCAACTGAAACTAGATAATGAGGGAAGTGCAAAGATAACTTTTATCTACAGCTAAAATAAAAAGTGACCTTTTTTTTACCCCACCAACGCTTCCAAAAAAAAGTAAACTGGTGCAAAGAAAATCTTAAGTTACGCCTCAACTATGCCAGGAACAAGACATGAAAACACCCTCTACAGGATATTTTGACTTCCTGGGGGTTGAAGACGCTTCACAAATACATCTTTCACTGTGAGACTAAGGCTTTTGGCTGTGACTGCTCTTTTATGGATTTCCAGTTCTTAGACAAAATTCGTTAAAAGGGGCTGGAGGGGAAGAAAATATGGCAATACTTTTTGTGTTTTTACTATTATCATTATTACAAAGAATATAGATAAAGATACAACTCATTTGTTGCAAACAATAGTGAAACAAGTCTCTCATATTTTTGCTGCTAGAATGTCAACTCTAAACTGATGATGCTTTTTTTTTTCCTTAGCCTTTATGGTTTTTTATTGCACAAGAGAAAAAACAAATTATATTCCTTTTGGATAAATGCTAGATAAAAGTGGTCCAATATTTTATTCTATACTTAACTGTCACTATGGTATTCATTTTTGTGCACTTTTTTCCTAGCATGATTTGATATACTTTTATTAAATTTCTGATTTTTCTCTGTGATTCATAATTTAATTCTTTTTTTTTGTCTTTTGAAGGAATACATAAAAAGCCAACTAAAAATACATGGGGAAAAAACAGCATTTTTAAAAAAGAAATCCTCTCCATCTGTTGTCTTCACTTTGAAACTTCTAAAAATCTGAATTTTCTGAACATATTAAGCTGTTGAGGTTATTCAAAATATTTGATGACCACAGGCAGAAATATTTCTATTTAAAAGATTGTTTGGATTTACACTATCCAATTTCAGCACTGCTCCTTACACTCTGTATTTTCATGTTTGCCAAGAGAACAGTTAAAATTTTAATGTGAAATCTCGTTAATTGCCCTCTCATTTCCCTTCCCTAGCTATATGAAATGAACAACATTTTGTAATATTTCACAGCAGTGACGTGCTTTTCAACTGTGAAATGTTAAGAGACTAATGATGAATATTATGTATAGTATTTTTTTGCTGTGAATGTGCTAAGAGCCTTAGGATTGCAGATATCATTTGCTTTTTATTTCAAGCTCTCTCATCAGTGAGCCTGAGAACTAACCTCTCCGTTTTCCAGGGTGCCAATGTGTTTGAACTTTACAATATGGCAAATGTTTTCTTACTCTCTCCTTCCCGTGGGAGACAACACCACAGAGTAAAGTTTTCAGATAAGATCTATAATCTAGACTGGCTCAAGGTTTATCAATAGTATAAGTAAAATTGAATTTTACTGCACAAAAGTGGGTCTTGAGACTTGGATGCTCCCTCCATAAAAAAATTGTTTTTTATGGAGCTCCTTCCATTAGAAAAAGCAGAGAGCTAGGTTTGCTGCTCCTGCTGCCACTGATGCCAGGAAAGGAGGAGGAACAGGATAGCGAGGAAAGCGATTTCTGCTTCTGGAAAGAATACTCACTACAGCTTCTGCCTGAAGAATAATAGTAGCAATATCCTTGGCTTTACAGCACTCTGCAATCAGCAAAGAATGCTGTGGGGCCACGGCCCCGCTGGCATCCCAGCAGCCAGCTGCACCAGACAATTATCTATGTCTCCTGTGATCAGACCTAAACGAGTCTTTGAGACATAAAAAATACAGTTCTATTAGCAAAGATGGGTATTTCTCTGTGAAGACACCTATGGATTAGTTTCTTTTTGATCCAGTGATCTGTACTGCTTTAAGGATGGAAAACATCCTTATGAACCTAATGTTCAAAAGAACAAACATAAATGTAAAGAAGTATCTGGAAATATTTATGTTTGATGCTAGAATTTCAGCATCTGGAAGAGGATACTTTTCAATTACACAAGGGACATAAAAGTTTTTATCTAAATATCTTGTTGTACACAAAACGTATACAAGTAAGCAAGCCCTTAAACAGTACTGTGTAGAAATTTAATAAAAAAGGATCATCCATGTAAGGACAGTGAAAAGGTTTGGGATAAGACTAGAAACAAAGGGATTTTTTCCATTCACATCTCTTCAAGCTGATGTGATTTGGCAGGCACCCTAATCAGCCTTCTATGATACTCTTACGCAACTGAATTATAGGAACTTCTTCAGCAGAAACTACATGAAAAAAGAACGTGCTTGCAAATCACCCTCTCTGCCAACTGACTGATTAACAGGGCTCTCCGTGAATATGTCACTCTGTCAGGTAAGTTTCTAGGGCAATGCAAGAACAGGCAAACTGAAATCTCAGAGATAAAATAATAATAACAATTATAATAATAATTATAATAATTATTATTATTAAGTCAGTGTTCGGCCACTAAGCATTTACATACGAGTACAGCCTCCTTCTTCAAAGTTGTAAAATCCACGAGCACAGCGGTCACACTTCCTTCCTGCCACTCCAGGCTGGCAATAACACTGTCCATCTCCATCGCAGTCGAAGGACTTGGAACCAAAAGAATTGCAATTGCAGGGAACGCATCCCCTTGAAGACTGCAAGTCAAATGTTTCAGGCTGCCACAGAGAGAGGAAGAAGAGTCAGTACATGGAATGATTACCAGCAGAAAAGAGGAGAAGTTGAGAGAGTACGGAGAGCAGGGTAGCTCTTTCTTCTTCCGCACTGAAACATTACTCTCATCAGATTGAACTGTAGGGGGTAAAACTGAGGTGAGGGCACTAAATACCTCACATAGCTGAAACGGAATAAAGATTTCAGAATATTACCTATTGCTACAATAAATGTGAATTGCTATAGTCACAGTAATATAACCAAGCTATTTCAGAGAGCTTGCTAGGAAAGCAAAATTTAAAAAATGAGATACCAAAAAGAATTTGTGCTAACAAACATATATGGAATAAACTGGAAAATATTTACTTTTAAAATGTACTACTGTGTGACCCAGGCATGTGTTTTCAGATTTTTGCCCAGTACACATCAGTGCAGGCTTGTTAAAGTCAGGGGAGCTGCACTGACTTACATTTTACAAAGATTTGCTCCAAAGTGGAATCGCTAACTTTTCGTGTAGGTGAAATCCCAGAGATTTCAGCAGGTTTCCATGTAAAAGTGCTGAAATCTGATTTCTGAGGTTAATACTGAGGCTTCTTCTTCCCACACAGAATGCACTGATAGAGATAAGAATATAGGATGAAATCTATGGTCAGAATTTGGCCTGAAGAATCATACGAAACTAGGTAAACGCTTGATTATACATATAATAAGAAATTACTCAGATTTTCATTTCCAAATTCTATAACGAAATGTTTTATCAGTTACACACTTCAGCATGATAAAACACAGGATATTAGAGGGAAAGAAATACTCAAACTCATGTAATTAAACTCCAAGGTTCAATTAAATATAGAGACTCTAAAGATTTCTTTTACACAAGGAAGACAAGGAAACAAAGACAGAAATATGAATATTAAAAAAAAAAATCTCAGAACAGACATGCAGATCAATACAGTGAAGTATCCAATGCACAGCATGCTGCTCCACTCTCAATAAAAGGTTTGATCGAATCTAATAAATTCTGTCTGTAAGGGTGAAAAACAGAAAAACAGTTTGATACACTAGCACTCCACATGGTGTGAAGGAAGAAAGGGATGGCTAGCATGCTAGGTTGTATTCTGTGATGAGCTCTGCACAGTGAAAGACATTTTGATCAGTCATGCCCTCCCCTGAGATGAACCCCTAAGACGAGCCCTCAGTGAAGTCTGTCTATGCACAGGAATTCTAAGAATCACATTTATTGAAGAACATATGGAGATCCTGGATGACAACGAGGAAATATGATGAATTTTCTGAATATGTTATTATCTTGCATCCCTGTATCAGGGTATGTGGAATGTTTTTGTGGGCAATGTGGTTGTATAATGTATGTTAAACAGGGGAAAGCTCACTCTCTTAAAAGGAGTCCATGTGAGCAGGCAAGGCGTGGGTCCTGAACTTTCATTCCAGAAGATAAAACACTGCCAGGCATTTTTCAAACAGCGTGAGACTAAGTGTGGGGGTTTTGTTTTGTGTTTTATTTTGCTTTGTTTTGTTTGGGGGGCAGACCATAGCCCTTAAACATTGCTCAGTTAGGAGCAGTTGCATCATAATTACATATTCTAGAAAATAAGCTGCTTTGTTGGTATATGATAAATAATGAATACTTCTGTCATGTTAGGAATTACATTCAGATAATGGGTACATGGCCTGGTTAAAAATTTAAAAAAATGGCTCAAATAACTGGCCATATTCACTAATGAGAACTTTTAACACTTGTCATGTTTGATATTTCAAGACTAGATCTTAACACTTGGCCTCTAGGACTGGTACTCCTCACACACTCCTTGAACTTTTGGTTTCTTGAATCAGCAGAGGACGAAGGAACCTTGCTGAAAGCCATGGAAAATCCCACGGATTTCATTGAGGTAAGTGTGTGACTCATACATTTAGCGCATACTGCTGCTGATTATGTTGCCTCTGGATTTATTCTAGTTATTTGACTGCTGGCCTACGTTGTTATTTGCACTATGCCAAAGCCTAAAAGTGGGGAAGTATCCTAGAAGGCTACCTGTGTGTTCATATATTATAGCACATTTATTAAAGACAACAACAACACCACCACTGCAGGAGCTCCAAACACAAACGAATGAGAGATTCGAGCCCATGCAATGCACACAGTTTCTGATTACCGGAGCAGCAGGCCTGTAAGCACCCCGTGGGCACCCACTGGCACTGCTGAAGCCCCATCTCCGAGGGGGGACGCGCATCTGCTGACTGCTCCGTGCATTTCCTTTCAATTTAGGCACCTGTCTGCTGATTTCACAGCGTTTGCCCATGAATCCTGATTTGCAGATACATCTTCCTGACATATCACAGTGCAGTGACCTGGATCCTAAGGCATTGCAGCCACAGGGTACACAAAACAGCTTTTCTGGGGCCCAGAAGTAGCCGGGCTTTAAGAAGGAAAGGTAAACACAGTTAAAAGGTAAAGATAAAGAGACTACATCACATAAAAGAGGATAGGAATAAAGGATAGTAGTAAACACAGAATAATTCCACAACTAATAGCCAATGCTACAGTAACAAGCTTGACATATTTTCTGCATACCTTATACAGTGTAGGGCAAATTGCTTTTATACCAATGTTTTTTCTTTGAACAGAATCATTGAATACTGCTGAAAACAGACTGTTCTCCCCCAACAAACCCCCTCAGAAAGCATGCAGCTTGAAAGGTCAAAATAATCCTAGTGATTTCTACAAAAACATTTGTGTGCTTTTAATTACACATGCACTGAGGTGCTTTGAGGACACAGGCCCAAGAGTCCTCACACTGAAACAGAGAAACTTGCAGTCATCCCTAACATACTCCTTAGCAGCCTAAAGAAAACTCTCTGAGAAAGTTCAGGAAACACAGTGTTTTTTGCTGTGATTTATATGATAGCAAAACAATGTCCAGGCAAAAGACCCTTTCACCAAAAAATATGTCATTTGGACAATACGAAAAGATCCCTTGTGAAAAAAACATAAAAGTACAACTTTCATAGCAGAAGTAAACTAGCATTCTACTTTTTCGAGTATCAGATACTATCAGCCTCTGTGAACATTGCTGCAAAGTAGGATTTTCCCCCAGAAGTGTAACAGTTTTAACCAGTTTAGTTGCATCAAACATTCAGAATACAAAGTGCATATATCATATAGAAAAATGTACTTAAGTGTACAGTGAGGCTTAAAATATATTTTCATTGCATGCAAAAGAAGATTTATTTTTGTTCTGAGTTTTGTTCTAGAAAACCGTTGAAAAATATTTAAAAAATACAGCCATTTCACCTTTCTCCCTTTTCCAAAGAACAATTCATATATGTTCTGTCAAGCAGGGAAGAAAATTGAAACAAAACATCATTTCTTATCACCCACCTTGCACGTGTCACACCGGCGCCCAATCACATTGGCTTTGCACTCACACTGTCCTGTCCGAATGTCACAAATCTCGGAGAAGGAGCCATTGATGTTACAGTGACAGGCTGCAGAGGAATAAGAAGCAGTTGTTAATATACTATAGGTCACTACTGAAGCTAACTTTAACAGCCAAATATTTACAGTGCTGCTTAAGACAGGCCTGAGTGAGGCAGCGAGGCAAATTATTAAATCCCGTATGATGACAATGCACATTTATCTATCCATCATACTAAGTAATTCTGCTCCAAATTAGTACAGTGAGGAATCCCGCTTCAACTTAATCAACGACTCGTTTTATACGTGCCTCTCAGATCAAAAGAGGAGAATTAGAGCACATCACTGAGTACATGATGATGGAGAAATAGGTTTTTTAAAACAATGCCTTTGCCTTTACATTTGAATTGCAAGTGCCAAATTTCAGGACAAACCGGATGATGGGTAACACAGGGCTCTTTCATTCTCAGAGTCTGCTTCCCCAGAGCAAGTTGGCCCTTTTCCCAAGCCTTGCGGTAGGCAGGATGGCATCGCCAGAAGAAGGGTACAGACTCTTATGTAGCTCTGTGCAGGATTTAAGCCACGGCAATTCTGCCATATGGTGTTACTATGGCATTATTGCTGCACACGCAGGTCCTACTGCCATGCAGTTCAGTCTGTGTTAATACAGATGACCACAAACCGTACCAGGCTGAGGAACTAGAACAAACTTGCCCTCAGTGGCCTCGCTACAGGGGCGGTAGTTTCTTCAGCCCTCGCCAAAAGCTCCTCCTCCTCGAGTACAGCCCCAAGAGGCTGCAGATTATCTGCTCCCGTACCTCTCCGGCACCTCTACTGCAGCACCTCTACTGCAGCAATCAAATGTCATTCACAGGGGAAGCATAACCCAGCTGACTAGCCTAAATCATCATCATAGTCTCTTGAGGATTTAAAACAACGACAAAAAAGCGCTGCTGCTTCTTCAGGAAAATAGTAATGCTTTGGACTTCTAAATTCTCATGTTTTAGAAGAGGAGAAACTTCTAGGAAGCTGTTCTACCACCCCTTATACTCTTTGACCACAATTATTTTGGCATACAGAGATTAGAAATATCCCTTTAGCACTCACAGTACAGAAGAGAGGGATGGGATTAGGTGTTACAGGGACTGTGCCCATACAGCCCTCAATACTATTGCCAAGAGCTGGTCCTTGCATGTCCCTTTTCTTTCAGAGGGGAATGAATAAATACAAATGTATTCATTTGTATTTGAATAAATACAAATATTTATCATTATCATATTCATCTCTATATTATACTCATCATATATATGAATATATATTAACCTTCTCTATTTTATATTCTTCATACTTCATCATTCAATTATATATTCATTTCTATAACATATTCATCTCTATATTTATCATTACTATGTTCAATTTGCTCTGTAAATCAGGGTCCCAATCCACTTTTCCATTCTTGCAGTGCCCTGACTGCATGTATCTGGTCTTTTTCTCAATCTGACAGCTTCATTTTAAGAAACACTTAAGAGTCCCAGCAGTGAACACACGACAATCACATCCTTGCATGTCACAAGGTACCACTTGAGATAAAGCAGTTATATCTCATCTACGTGTAGGCTATTACAGGAGGATCATAACTTTATTGGACTTGCTAGATTCTAAACTGAAGATTTTTTTTTCCTGTTTTCTCCCCACTTTTGAGGTATTATGCAATAGTTGTTTCATTTAAATGAAAGTGATTTTATGACTTGCCAGTCTGTTTGTGGCTTTATTTCTCAAATGTTTGCAAAGTTATGTCATATACTGAAATAACTGCAAGAAATATGTGGGGCTCTAATGTCAGTCTGGTAGCACTAGTTCACAGCGCTTCTTTGTGTTTTCAGAGGTTTAGATCTCTTTGTGTTTTGTGATATATTTAAAAATTGCAAACCTTTAAAAACACTTCTAATTAACACTGCTTCTCTTTCGCTTTCACTCTAATTTTTCAACCCTCTAACGCAATTTACCTCCTTCATCCTGTTACAGTTCTGTTCCTTATCTGCTACCATAATATGTATGTTTTAAAATTACGGACGCTCCAAACTATACGCACAGTGATGAGAATTACATAAATGTTTCAAGTAACTTTCCAATTACAATGGTCAGCAGTGAAAGACTATGTGTAAGCCTGAACTCACAAAAACACAGTCCTCAATGCAAATCAGCAGCTAGCGTTTTACCTACATTTTTATAGAGACCTCAAAAAACTAGGCCTAAATCTTATTAGAATCTTTTTGCTTATCAAGCGTATGACACCACAAAAAACAAAAAAAAATTTACATTGTTTTTATGAACAGATGGGTTTATCCTATTTATATTATGTATTACCCAAAATGGCATAGGATGTATTCTTAGCTTAGCCACAGATAACTTCCTGAGCGCAATACAGCGGTAAGGCAGCATTTGGAAGTAAAGACTTCGGAGGTTTTTCTTGGCTCTGGCAGTACGTACTTACAGAAGAAACATGCAGTTAGGGCTGTTCATCTACTAAACTGTTGCTCAACCTGATAAATTGCATTTATCTCACCTAAAGTCTTCCCATTCATTTGCCTCTACTGGGAAAACTAGCTATTGTTCAAACTTTAAATGGTTGCCATTATACAACTGAGCTTGTCAGAAAAATGTCTTACTTTCTCCCAAACTGACACTGGTCAAGATCCCTCTCATTCTCTCTTAAAACATATAAATATTTATGAGTGTGTATTTATAATCAGTATTTATAATCAACATACACATTTACTCCCCTCCAACATTCGTACTCATGCACAGGCACACAGGCATGTCTTGAGTATTTGCTTTAATTCATCTCGTGTCACCTAGCTGTGCTACGATCAGCCTAACCTGTAGCTGTTTGCTTCAGCACACTGTGCTGTTTCACATTTGATCACCAAAGAACAACTACAAGAATCAAATCAAATGAACCTAGGACATTTGCTCAGTGCTCTGAGATTTATTATTTTTTACACCAAGAAATTCAGAGACGCTGTAATGATATAAAGTTGTGCTGTCATTTGGAATGGTTAACACACATGACAACAGCACTTTACTTTAGAAAGAGCAGGAAACATTTCAAACAATAATTTGAGAGCAAAATTCATGCTTTGCAATACTCTTGGATTTGGCTTTTTAATAAGGAACAAAATTGAAAACAACAAAGTAAAGGCACGGGCCCTCTGATATTGTAGCTGCAGGGCAAACTTCATGGAAGTCTGCGAAGGAAATAAAAAATCATATGCAAAAAGAAAATCCACATGAAAGACGGAGAGAAGATGAATACAAGGTAACTGTGAGCACAAGGATATGAATACATGATGCGGCTCTCCTTGTCAGTGATACTAACGACAAAAGCAAAGCCTGTAAGTCCACATTAAATATGTATTTATTTTAATACTTTTTATTTTTAATTGTATGTTTTCTGAGCTCTCCTCCTATTACATCTCTTTTCCACGCAGCTGCCACTACTGTGGAAGTGTTCAAAGCAACAGACTTGTCGATGCCTGAGGAGGGGTGACAAGCTACTGGAAGCGCCGATTTTTGAAATGCCCTGCTTTTTAAATCACATTACACACTTTACACCCTAAATTATACAATATCATTCATCACGAATGGTTAACTAGTGCAAAGACCACATGCGATTGTCCCACTTTTATCCTGCATTGTACAAAGTAGTACAGAAAGCATGTAGACAGGTATACGTCGTCATGGCTGCCTATGGTTTTATTTGTATCAATGTTTCCCAGCCTTAGTGGAGAAACTTGGTGATGTTTTGTGTCCCACTGGCTCCAGTGGAGCCTGCAGTGGTCCAGCAGAACACAGTATTCCTACTGTCAAACTGCAGCCCGCTAACAGACCAAATCCTGAGAATGCACACCACTGGCTCAGGCTTTCGTGCTTGCAACAGATGCTGCAAAAGCATTCCCGGTGTTCCTATACACACAGCAACAAGACACCGGCCTAACTCTTTTTACTTACGTTTTATCCTGATATAACTCCTTTGTACTTGATGGAGTTGCTCTGAGTTTATTACAATGAAAGAAGAGGATTAAGTGGCAGTGAAATAAAATACTCTGCTCATTCAGGACAGCCAATAACCCATTGTATTTCATCCTCAGAGTGGGGTGGGATGATACATGAACGTTTTTCATTTAAAACCCACCGGTTCCAGCTAACAGCTGCATTCTGCATTGCGTCAGCAAGAACTCAGTGAGAGCTACTGCCTCCTACAGAGGCAAGAAATCTGCTGCTCCTTGCTAGGAATAGCTCCTGCTCCCAGTGAATCTTCCACCTGCTCTCAATAATTTCTTGAAAGTCTGACTCTGGAGTTGGGGCTCATACTTAAACAACATGCCACCAACCAGCTGAGCAGTGGTAGCTTGCTGCACTGCTAGGGCACCTTAGGAAACTCAGCAGGAGCTGGTAGGCTCTGGGCAGGTGATTCGCTACATCTTGCCCTGGCAGAGGCAGCAGCTCCCAACTCTTACTGACCTCATGTGGTGGGGAGGAGGTCCCAAGTCCTGCTAAGTTTGGACCCTACAGTCACTGAAATATCATTCCCTCCTCCTTTCAGTGCCAGGCCTACTAGTAAATGGAATTTTTCTCTTTGGCTTATAGCATTTTAATGCATCATTTTTATTTCTTTGTATTTATTTTTGTGGATTTGACATTTAGTATAACCTTTTGCATCCATGCAGCGCTTAGCTCTCCCAGGTTTCCTGCATGTCTGCTTCATTACTGCCTCAGCTACAGCAGGAAGTTTTTTTAATAGGCTTTCCTTTCTATTTACTTTGAAATCTCCCTTTCCAGATGTAGATGCAAGTGAAACACTATTATTATTCAAGGTGCAAGCATACCATATCATTCTCCTGCTCACACATACAGAGGCACATTCATCCTCTCAGGAACACTGATATAGAATAGATCAATTCTGTCAGGAGCAGTAAAAGTTCATGACTTACGTTGACAGTTCCTTGCATCAAGAGCATCTCCAAAATATCCATCAGCACATCTCTCACAATATTGGCCTGTTGTACCTGGCTTACATATCAGGCAAGCTCCAGACAAGCTGTCACAGCTGCCAGGAACGGAGAAGTCAAGGTTGTCATTACACTGGCATGGCTGGCACGATCCCCCTGGTATTAAAGGTTGTCCAAAATAGCCTTCTGCACACCTAAGGTAAAAGACACCATCATTTAAGATCCTTAAATAATCCCCTCGTGAGAAATATTTAGTTTTGTTGTCTCACTAATAGCTAAAAATGATTTAATCTTCTTTCAAATGTTTCTTGTCTTTTTTCTCTCTGCTGCTTTCTCCTTTTTAACAACACTGTAGATACAGTACCAGCTGAAATCCTGCCAGTTCTGCTAGTAATTAGATTTCAGTGGGGGAAAAATCTTGTCACTGGCACTGAAGACGAGACAAAGCATAATAAGAAATCTGTCTATTGGCACCCTAGAGGAATTCAGGTCCATGTTAGACAGGCTTTGTATTTCAGCACATCATGTGTAGATGTTCTCTACTCATTTACCAGCAAGCTTGATAATTTTCTCCCTCCACCTTAAAGATTTTCTTGGTTTAGAAAAATAGGTTCAGAAAATAATACAGATATAAATGTGTTTGTTTTCCTAACAAGATCCTCCCCAGATCTACATTCCTCTGATCTACGGCATGATCAGAAATGTTTAAATTAATGGATAGCTTATTTCTGTGCATATGCAGATAATGAAAAGATTGCTTGTTTTCATAGGAACTGTATTGATCAATAATATAGCTTCATATAGCAAATTTTAACAGAGATAATATCACCTTCTTTTCTGCCTTTCTCACCAGCAATTTTCTGAGCATCCCATGTAAAACAGGTTAGTGAATCTGACTTAACATCAGTGTATATTTTAAAAGCAAATTTCTACTAGTCTCACAGCCTATTCCCTATTTATATTCTGGTCTGCTTTCTCTTTCCATTACATTTGCTCACTCTTCACAGTAAGACCAACTTGTAAAGGGTGAAGAAAAAGAAGAAAAATCCCCTGGTTCCAGCTAATACTGTTATTCATGTATTCTCAGATGAACTCCAACCAGTATAAAGAAAACAGAAAGTACATAAACCACATTGCATAAATTAATGTTTCCTACTATTTTCAAGTCACTTCAAATGCAGTTCTGATGCACATAGACATCCTCTCGCCTTTGTAACAGTACTGAGTGGTATGAATGAGCAAAGATTTTGAGCAGCATCCCAATACAGAAACACGAAATTCCACTATACTTTCACTCCTGCCCTTTCAAGAAAACCTTTGTGCTCATCAAATTAATTCTTCTCCTTAAACCTAGAACATCTCATGAAGCTTCCAGTCAGATCTTAAACAAAGTAGTCAAAACCTTTTAAAAATATTTAATATAATTGGCAAAAATTATACAAATGATGGATGACTGAGACTAGGGAGGAAACTACAGCTGGATTCAATCAAACACTTCTTTTGTGGTAGGCTGTTACACAAACAGAAGATGATTTTTTTCCATTCTCTAAAAATATCCAAATGCAGACTGAAGATGACATATTCATACAAATAGTCCAGTGGTTTGGATGCTTGTAAGCGCTCAATAACATGCATAAAATTTGCACAGTCTATCCCACTGTGCTGTATTCCTTTTGCATAGCCATCTCTTACAATTATCTTCTCGTAACAATAGTGCATCAAAATCTTGTCAGTGATCATTAGAAAATGTCATGTATGTTATTTTCAGAACCTGCCACCGATGTAGGCACATATTGTAATACTGTACCTGTTTGCATTCCATGCAAAGAAACAGGTTTCTCTTCCCTGCATGGAGGATATCTCAGCAACAACACATTTTTTGCTTACTTTTGGCAAACAAATTGGCCTTTTTGTAGAGATGGCATCTCAGTTGCAAAGGCTAGGAAGCTTTCTTTTATAGGTAACAAGAACTCTGTTCTATCACAGCTGAGGAATAGCTAGGTAATACATGGAGGATCTTGTATTACTTAAAATGGATGGCATGTGAAGCTTCACTTACACTTTGGTGAGACACCTCTCCTTCATCACAGGAGTTACTTGCCATAAATCTATAGCTTTTGGTACTACTAATCTATCTGACTTCACTTAATGTGTGTTCAGTTACCTCTTTTGCTTTTCTTTAGGCATTAGTTCTATCTTTGGTAACATCCACAGAAACTTACAAAGCAGTTCACTGAAAAAGTACTCCTAGGATTTGTGAGAAACACATTGCTAATCATATCCTCCTATTAATAGCAGTAGACTTTGATAACTCTTTGTATTCTCATCAGTTTAGACCTTGCCGAATGAAATTAGCGTAAACCACCACCATACATTATCTTGAATCCACATTCAAGATAATCCTGAAAGTAGGGGAAAACCAGCTAAAAATAACAGAAGATTGTGTGCATACATTTACATGTGAATTCTTCCACTTTTTATTCCACTTCTGCTGAAGTTGCAAGTGACATTAAAAAATCCACTTTCACTAATCTCATATTTGCTCCCCTTAGGGCATTTCTACTTCAGCTATGCCTCTCCATTTCAAAGCATTACACCTTTGGGAAGTTTCATGTTAAAAACAATGCTTTATGTGACATGGAAAATTATTTTAATACACTACAGAAAATACATCTCTTATTAAATGATTGCCAAGCACAACAGAACCCTCCTGAGATTAGAAAAAATAAATAGAAGAACTAGGAAGAAAGATATGCAAGAATATTTCTTTATTTTTCTCTCTTCCTCTTTCTATGTTCATTTTCACCTTCAAATTCAGGTGCATCCTATGATAGACATCATCTTTTTTAATGCCTAATTTATGTTTTTATCATTTGTTTTGGTACGAGTTGTGCCAAATACAGGGCTCCTATATAAATATATATGTGTATGTTTTGTGTGTACATACACAAATATGCATACACAAGTATTGCACACGTTTCCTTACATTTACTGGAAAAATTCTCCTGAGATGGAGTTAATCGAGGCTGCAAAGCCAAACAGTTGAAAATTTGGAAATACTACTTTACAGTTGCTTTGAAATTTATAGGCATCCAACCTATATACGCGATTGGGCAAAAGTCCTGTAGAGAAATGGTCTATGAATATGCAATTAAAAATCTTAACTCAGATGCACAACATAGATATTATTGTTGCAGGACCAAGAATAAATCTGACATTTCCTAACTTCAGAGTGCCCAGCTTTGCAACCCGTAAACAATCCTGCACAACACTTTTGTTGTATAAAATTTCCTGAACATTTGATCCTTTTCCCATCAGCACTGCAATAGGACTAGTAATTTTGGCCCTAGTGGAAGAGTTATTCCAGGAGGAAAAACGTTGCTGGAACCATACTTATGGATCAAAGACTACTAAAAGAGAAGCTAGACTCTAACCCTTTTTGTTTCTTTCCTCTAAAACTATGAGCTTTTGCTCCATGTCAAGACTGCAGGGTTGCATAGCATAACAACATAAATGCGGTGGGCCCAACAGACAACTTACACACTCTTTTTGACTTTCTTTCACGCCTTTTGTACAGGAACTGGGAGACTGCCTGTCCTATTCCACAGCCCTGGGAAAGCAGGCAGTGAGAAAAGGAAGAAGAAATCTAATTTCTTGGGGAACAGATTATATGGGAAAGCCTTGCCTGACTTTCTCTACAACTACAGATATCTGGTAGCTCCCAACACAGTTTGTATCTGCTATTATTTTGATGGTGTCAGGAGCCAGACCCTTCAAAACATTCAGCAATTTTGGCAACATTTTCCTGAAAAGTCCAAGTGAGAGAAGGAACTTTCTTTCTTTGACATTTTACAACTCAGATATATCTAAAAAAGAGCACCTGTGTAGCCTGGGGGTTTTTATCCATATTTCATATCAAAGGGCTTTTGTAAATCATTAAGATGTTAACGTTTCATTAAAAAAGTCCCCAAAATCCTACGTAATACTGTCCTACACAAACTAAGCACAGGATTTGTGGCCTTATCTGCCTATAAGAGGATGATTTTGGAGGCCAAATAAGAAGTTGCAGTACAGAACTTTATATGAAGCACTTCATGATAATTTAGGACTGTTCAGTTAACGAATCATATGACTCAGATCAGATGTCACTTTGCTGTTGCTAAAATGAAAGAGAATTTCATACAAACTCTTTTAGCAATTATACAACCGCTATTAATAGCAAAAGGCAACATGCTTTCTCCTGTTCGTTATTATTGACAGCTGTGGGCATTTCCAAGCAACTTGTTACAATTAAAAGCAAATAGTTCTATGAGCACTGGAATTAATGCCCTAGTTTCCAAAGGATATATACCTCACAATTACAAGCCTAACAGATGATTATGTGCAGCAGGATGTTGCTGTTCA